GGGCCTTGGCCGCGCGGGTGAGCGGGAGCGGGGAGCGGGACGTCCCGGTGCTGCTGCTGGAGCTGAAGGGTAATTCCGCTGCAGGGTGACCAGCCGCTTGGAAAGTGCCAGGGCGGGCGGCCCCGCTGCCTCACGCCTCCCCGGGTTTCTGAGGGCTCCTCTCCCTGTTCTCCCCGCTCGGCGGCCGCCGCGTCTGTGGGGCCCTGCAGGCCCCGCACCCTTGGGCAGGTCGTTCCTCCCGGTGCCTCAGAGCAGGGAGAGCCAGGATGGCTGTCAGTGCTCCAGTCTTAACACAGAAACGCAGCTGGCAGGGCCTGTGTGGCTCCCCCTGCCTTTCCTCTGGCCGCGCAGTCGCTGGGAACGGGTAGGAACAAGTTAGGCCCTGTGCTAAATGGGGATGTAATTATAAGGAAGGCCACATGTTTCACGGGGGTTGCGGTTTTATCCGGCCTAGGAAATCCGTACAAATGGGCTGTGTCCCAGGTGATGCCTGTTTGGCTGCGAAATGTGTAGTGGGGAAGTGGAAGCCTAAGTTTAGCTGTCCTCCCCAATTGTCCTGTGATCTAAGAGATGAATCGTAGCTGTAGGAGTGAAAAATGCTGAGAAAATATTTTATGCCTTTATTAGCACTTTTAGAATTACCTCAGACCTAACTCTGTGCACACATATTCCTCCTGTGTTTTGAAAAAAAAATAAATAAATTAAATCTCACACTTCAGAATCTTATGCTTCTTTATGTGTCTCTCTTGCTTTCTTCCCACAGGAATTTTGAACGGTGCTTCCTTGGGATGTGAAGAATCAAAAAAGATTAAGCAAGATATATATGATTATGGTCTTACTCAGTACTGCATGCTGGTCCTTAGACAAGATCACTCCAGACTGCGTGGAGGCTGGGCTACTGCTGCCCAGCTAGCAGAGATCCTAAGGTAAAAACAACTGCTATGAAGTTCTCCTCTTGTTTTCTTTCTGGCCTTTCATCTTGCCCTTTTTCTTTTCAAGCTGTAACACATTGGCTCCCATCCAGAAAAAGGCTTGTTGTTCAGGAAAGGCCAGGGTTAAAGTGCAGAGAGCAGTCAAGAGCAGGGGGGTCAGGCATAGCCTAATTGGTCCTGTTTAATTCATTTGCATTGTGTTTCATTGAGCTGGGTAAACTGTTTTGTGGGAACACACTTTGGTTTGGCTTTACCTTTTTTTTTTGTGAACAGTACTCATCAGTGTCACAGTTCTTAGTCAGAATTGTGGTTCTTTTTAAAAGTTTGTTTACTTAGATTGCATCTTGCAAAAAAGTCTTCAGCCCGATTGACTCATAGCTTGGCTTACTATTGAAATATCTATTCAATGTACCTATTTTAAATACCTATTTACATTTTGAACATAATAGAGGACACAGTTCATACAGACTAGGTAGCTTGACATAGTGATATTGTGAAAATGACATAATTAAGGTTAATTCATAGCTAGTAAATAAGACAACTTTAAACTTGCATCCCCAGTGATCCAATCTCAATTTTCAGTGTGAGGAGAAAGAATAAGTTTTAAATTTTCCCCAAATTGTGCTTGATTTTTGCTTAGCTAGAGAGCAAAATTCTAAGTCATGAAGCAATTAAGCAACCATCTCTTATTTATGCCGTATCTGCAGTATGAATTTTTAATGCCAGGAATTTCAGAAAGAGATGTAAGATTTATCACCAGAGTTGTGTGACACTTAAATCATCCCCTATAAGCTATTTCAGCTGGCAGTGAAAACTTAAATTTATTTTAGCTATAAAAATGTCCTTTTGTGACTAGATGAATCTTAGCTCGTGCCTAGAATTTGCTTTCCAAGGGCTCTGGTAAGCAAAGATTTACATCTGTGCCTCCACAAAAAGCAAACCAAGCCTAGATAAGATGTCAGAAGGCAAAACTCCTCAGAAGTTAGGAAGACTCTTTTGTTGCACTAGTGACAGAACTGAAAGACTTCCCAGGTGTCAGACGTTCAGTTTCATGTAAAAGCTTTTCCAGAAAGGGCCTACATATTTGCAGTGAGTAAAATAAAACTGAGACCTGAAGAACTGATTTCTAGCCCACACCTATTCCTCAGTTAGAGTAAAGTTGTAGATAAACTCACTGAAGATTTTGTGCTAAGTAATATTTTTTTTAGATACATATTTGCCTTGCCTGATCTACCCCCACTTCATCAGGTTTCCTGTCTCAGGTTTTTGTCTACCTTTCTATTTTGCCTTTCTTTTTTTTTTTCCCCCTTTATGGCCATCAGGGCCCTTCCCTAACATGTGGAACAAGCCTGAACAGATCCAATGAAGCTCAAGGAGAAAGTGCCTTGGATATGTTTTAAACTGAGACGTGCTATAGTAAGCAGTAATACACTTGCTGTCTCCAGCCTGCCAGTGATTCCTCTCCCTTTTGAGGCAGCCACCTCAGATCCAGTCACAGCAGTTAACTGTTGTTCAGCCTTGAATTGTCCCATGTCACTGAAGCATTTCTTCTTCCATGACGTGACATTCATTCAAAAGCTGTTCAAACAGGCCCTCGACTATTCAGGTTGATTTGCTTTTTGTTGTGTTGTTTTTTTGTTTTTTTTCTTTTTTTCCATTTCAGTCATTGTTGTGTAGGACTAGAGGTGAAAGAAGATCCTGAGGAATTTTACAATAAATTCCTTCCTTCAGTGATAGACAACCTGCTGGTTTTGGGAAGACGCTTGCAAGCACGGTTTACCCGAGCAATCAAGGTATTTAAAGTTCATAGTTAAAAGAGCAGAGAACCTCTGTAAAGTTTCCAAGGTTACATGTTGTAAAAGTAGGATATTTTTCTAGGGACAATATAGTATGAAAATCTATTTTCCAGAAATTACAGTAGTTTTTCTTATGCCTTGGAGCTTTGAAACTGTGATTTGTGGTTGTCAAGTATTCTGGCCCTGACCTGTGCAAAGCTGCTTTGTTACCCTAGGTTTGTTTAGAGAGTTTAGCTACTACTTTTCACAAGTTTTAAAGGCAAGGGGAAAGAATGCAATTTTAAGTAGGAGAGAAGAACTAGAGCAGTATGATAGAAAGGAATGCCTTACAAAAAGCAGCATCCCAGTCACGGTAATGTCTTTTTAACTTAGCATATAATTAGTTCAGTCTTTGTAGTGGCTCTGTTCCCACTGCTTTATTCAGCTTTACAAAAAAAGGTTTAGGAAGTCTTAAGACTTCAGATCAGATTTGTTGAAATTTGTTTTGCCATACATTTTCTGCCACAAAATTGGCAAAAAATTCCAAAAATGCTCACTGTTTCTGAACTTGGAAGTTGGAAACCCCAAAGGCAGACTGAATTTGTAGATTTGAACACTTTCTCACATTTCTCTCCCTCTTTGCAGAGAATAAGGGTTTAGCCCAGCGAGGTTTCCTCATGCTTTTGAAGCATGCTGAGTTCCAGAATCAGAAGGAAAAAACCCCAAGAAACAAAACCCATGAATCATTTAAATAACCAACCTCATGGATTCTGATAGTTTCTTTTCATATCTCACTTTCCCCCTAGTATCTCATCTCTTGGCTCACTGGCTTCTTGCAGTTAGCCAGAGTTTTCCTACAGAGTGTTGTGATGGGCACCACAAACACAATCAATTCTCAGAAAGGTCTGAACGTATTTTCTGTTAGTTCAGTACTTTAGAAGTGCATTTAGTTCTTAAGAAGGAAGCTTCCTGAATGACGTCCCAGGAGACTCAAGTTTTATCCACAATATGTAATTTCCCCCACACTTTCTTATTATGTCTCAGCCTACACACTTGAGTCATGCTTGTGGGCAAAGATTTCTTTTTGAATGCAAACGCAGTCTACATTCTAAGTCGCCCTTTGGCTTTTACACTTTGTGGTCTCAGAGGTGACTGGGCACCCAGACTAGGTGCTTGCTCAGTGGAACTTTGGAAATCCCACTCTACCAGTGGAGATCTGTAGTTTATTCTGCCCTCGTTTGCTTTTTGTACAAGCCTTTGAAGTAAAGGGAAACACTGAAATAGGTTTCAGAAACTGATGTGTTGCCAAAACACAGAGCAGATAACGTTACAGCTTAACTTATTGCTGTGATTTTGTATCTCTCATTGGCAGTAACAACCAAATGCAAAGTTAAACCATGACTGATGGCTGGGGTTTACAGCATGGATCTAGGAATAGGCTTTCCAGAGTTTCATTTGTGGAGGCTCAGTTAATCTGGGAGATATCTGGCCAAGTGCTTTATAACATTATTTGTCAGCAACGTAGAAGTATAAAAAGCTCCTTTTCTGTCCGACACACTGAGATTTTAGATTTCCAGGGCCTGTGGCTCACACCTGGAATACAGACTCTAGACTGTGTGTTCACACGTTCAAACCTGGATTCTTCCTGGTCATTTTTTCCAGTCCAGTGTTATCACAGGCAAGTACATAACACAGGCTGTTTGGCAAACTGATCAAGCTTCAGCTTAATAGTGGTTTGATGTTTGCTCCCAGACCTCCAACTAGGAGGTGCTTTTGAAGTCTCACCATGCCAGTTTTTAGGAACCTGTTCCATTTTAACAGTGTCCTTGGCCACTTCCTACCCTTTCTTTTTTTTCCCTTTATGCTTTAATCTTAAACAATATATTTCCCACTTTGTGGATTAAATCTATGATGGATTTGTACTGAGCTATTGTTTGTGTTCTTAGCCCTCCCATGCTATCAAATTTTTTTTAAGGCATAAATAAGGCTTCCCACTCTCTGTTATAATTATTTTTCAGGAATGGATGCTTTTTTTAATTATGTTTTGATTTTCTTTATTGGTCTCTGGCCTTGAAGAACTTGCGAGTTGGTTTTTTTTTTTTAGTGGTTCTTACAGTTTAACCATCCTCATCCAGGAATTTGGTGAAGTTTTGGTCTCCAAATCCCTGAAGCATACAAACCTTGCCTCTACCTCACCCTGAAATCCTCAGTGAAGATTCGTACACAGGCTTTTACCTACTTCTTTTTTGTTTAGGATAAGCAAGATTTTTTACGCTGGTTCCAAACAGTAACTGATGCCACCTGCTGGCTGTTCGGTGGGCATGTTCAACTTGCAGCATGCGGTAAGGGAAAAGTAAACCCCTAAAACATCTGAAATTTTATTAGTGGCTACTACAGGTATCAAGAATCACTCTTAAGCTAATTTCCACCCAGTTTTTCTAAATTAGAGTAGATGTTAAATCATCCTCCTAAAGTAGTCTTCTTAACAGAAACCACAATATCTAAAATAGAAAAGATGCACTAAGGGGAAACACTAAAGAATTCCCCTTCTAATCTTTCAGAGACAAACATTAAAAGTGTTTTCCTGTAATTTCCCGTTGTCATTCTATAACTTTAAAAAAGTATTATTTTTTTTTCTGATACAATGAAGTTGGTATTTTAATCTGTGTGTGATTAACATATACAGAAATTTGACCAGAATACATTGCCAGTCCTGAAAAGTGGATAAACTTGAAAATAAATTTGTGAAGTTGTTGCCATGCCAGGAAATTTTACAAATATCTAACAAACTTCACTTTACACTTCAGACCAAAATAAGCTTTCAATTAAACCAAAGTTAATCACACTGGTTTTAAAAAAACAGAATTTGGTTTTGTTTCTAAAATGGAACAAAAACCTAAGGATCACAAGACGGGTAATTAAAACACAGCCAGAAAAATTACTAAATCTGTAAAGAGTGGTAACACTGGAATAAAAAGGATGGTGCTTTAATGACATCAGTGGACTTGCATGAAATACACCTGGTGGTTAGAAACTGTCAGGGTTGAAGTCCTTTTCCTTCCTGGATGTTGTTGCCACGGTGCTAATTCCACTGTTGTCATAAGAAACTGGTACCAGGGCAGCCTAAAAGGTTTTCAAGTTTTATTCCATTGTAGCACCACTGCCCAAGGGACGTCCAAAGGCATTAACACATTGTTTTGGATGCTGAAGTAGTTTCCTTATTCCAGTAAGTTTCAGTGTAAAAATTACAAAAGAGGCTGTTTGTTCCAGGAACAGTATCTGGTTTTACTTGCTATGGCTTATGTTCCATAATTATGTTTATTTGTTTTGTAGTACTTTTAAGTCAAGTCTGGTTCTGTGTGTGTGATTGGTTTGTTGTTTTGTGGTTTTTTTTTGCAGTACTGCAAAATGAGCACTTCCTGCAGTTGTTAATAACAGATGATGTTGAAACAGCAATTATAATGATGTCTGTTTTACACAATCTTTTGAACGTCAGTAGGTTAGTTGGTTTTACATTACTAATTTTCCTGAATTTTAAACTTAGCACTCACTTCATTACTGCTTGGTAAAATAGAACTTTTACACACACAAGAATTGTGGAGCATTTTTCCCCCCACTCTTCGTTGTAGAAATAGAAAAAAAAAATCTATTTTCTTTGTTTTGTTGTTAAATTGAGGGAGTGGGAGTCAGTTGATTGAAACAGTAGCACTGTCTGGGTCAGATTGCTGGTCAGCTGGGTAGGTTGGCTTTCAGAATGCCTGATGTATCTAAAAATAAGTTACTGTTAAAAATCTCATAGTTTGTAATTAATACTTCATTTCTGTCCCCCTGCTTTTTCTTCTTTTTAAAGTTCTGTCTTGCTTCAGGTTGATGAAGAGACCCTCCACACTGTTTTGGATGAACTTGTTTATAAGCTTTCATCTACCACCAATCCTGTCATAGGAAGTGCTGCTACAAAACTGCTATTGTTGGTGGCAAAATGTTGCCAGCAGCTTGTGAAGTTACTCACAGCTCGCTACAAAGGTTTGTAAACACACACAGGACCAACCACTGGCCTCCCCTGACATTCACTGTAGGAATACAAAGATGGAAGTTTCCCACCTCTAGCAGAGATGGAAACTGCAATGCTGAGTTGTTGTTTTTTTCTTCTTTTCTGTTAATTTTCATTGTAGTTTAAGGTGCTGCACCTCTTTCTGTTTCCTGTATTTATTTTCTTCTGTGTATTGAGGAATCTGCATGTGGGAGTTGTCTCTCAAAGCTGCTGTTTGTCACTTCCAAGCTGATGGGCGTTACTTCTTTGTTTCTGCATCTGGTTTTCCTATGCAGGTAGGATATTGAGAGATCCTAGTAGCAGGGTTCCTGTACTGCCAGGATAAGAGCAGTGTGTCAGACTTGTGCCAGTGGGCTGACACTCACTACTCCAGAAGCATGGAAGTTTTACTTAAAGCCAGCTTCTGACCCTGGCTTTTACAAGTCTGCTTGCCTGATAGGTGCTGTTCTGTTACTGAGAAGCTGACTGCCCTTTGATATCCAAGTAATTGCAGTGAACTCTTTCCAAGAATCCATGAGTTTATCATTTTGTCTTGATGCCTTTAGATGAGGAGGCTGAGAATCCATATAAGTTTCTCCATGTTAGTCATTATTTAATGAGGTGTCCCATTTAAGGTTTCTGTCTCTAGCCTAGCAGGGAGTTCCAGGAAATGCCTTTGTCCTCTGCAATGCTCATGGAGATTGACAGAGGCTTTGATGTTTGCCTGGCCTTTCACATGTTGTTGGTGGTCAGAACTACTTGTGAGCAGCCTCAGTGCTTTGGGGACAAGGACAGTAAGAAGTGGATATGCTAGACAAAAAGGTCAAAATCCCTTTTTTTTTTTTTTTTTTTTAAATGCCTGTCCTGACCACCTATTAGGCAAGACCAGCCAGATAACTTTCTGGGCCAGATGTGCAGATTTGCCACCCTTTTGCCTACAGGAATGAGAGAGGATGGCTTTATTTTCATGTGAAATTAAGTGTTATGTGCCCAAGGCTGGTATCACATTGTTAATTCTCATGAAATTGCTGTGATGGTCTGATCATCCCAGCTATAGAATGCTGACTTGTCTGAAGAGGTGCAAGTCTCCATCAAGTGATTGTGTTTTATTTTGCCCTAGAATCACAACATGCCACAGTCATTTAGAGACTCTAATCTCTCTTCTCTACACATTTTCTGTTTCCACTAAGGGATAAAAAACCCTTTAAGTTTGAGTGCTTATGTTAGTTTTTACTCAGGCTTTGGAATTCTTTAGATAGTTTGAGGGAAAGCAGCAACTAAGCAAGCATTACAGCATTTTCCCCATCTGGCTATCTCATTGAACTAACTTGGCTTCACAGTGGCTGAGAGCTGTTGTCAGTTTGAGGTATTTCAGTATAAGCTTTCTGTCAGTGAAAGCAGCCTGCCAGAGGTGAGGATATCACCTGAACCTCACACCTCTGAGATTAGCACAGTCTTTATATCAGGCTTCCAGAAGGGCCTGGTGTTTTTGTCTACAGGGGTTGACCCATCTGAGAGAGACAGGTGAGGTACTCCTTGTTAGTTACTGAGAGGTCAGGTGGCTGTGTAGTCTGTACAGAAACTGGCAAATGCTTGTGCCAGACTCACAGGATTTCTGTGAGGGAACTGCCTTGTGTAGCCAGGCTACATGCTTTTGCAGAGCTCAGCAGCCTTAGGTCACGCACCAGGTCCATTTGGAGTCTCACCTGTCACTCTCAAATGTTTAACCATCATTGTCTGCATGTGCTAGAGCAGAGGTGCCATTTCTGTTTGCATGAAGGACTCTGTGCTCCAGCTCCAGATCCTGTAAGCATATGCAATGGATTATTCCTTGCAGTTGCCCAGTGTACGATTATGTTTAAGGACAATGATTTGAAGATGGAAAAGTTACTTGAATGTGCAGTTCTTGAGGAGGCTGTCCAAACACAACTACTTCCTGCCCGCCTTCCTTTTTCCTTCAACTCCCTGAAGAACTCTCAAACTCTGGGATTTGGCTGATACAAAGCTAAAAAGCCTGTGTTACTGTCTACTTCTCTCCTGTGTGCTATGCAGGGTGTGTGTTTGTGCCCTGGGGGGAGCACAAGTATGCGTTTTAGCTACTGTGAACCTAAAAAGATACTTGTCTCAGGGATTGGATGCACATGTACTCACAGTTAGACTATGCTATACAGATAAGATATCAAAAAAATCCAGTTTTCAAATATATTAAAGCAGTGCTAATAAAACCTAGCACTTGCGTGGTGCTTTACATCCTTTTAGTACCTTACAATGACTTACTGATAAGACACTGAAAGTACATTAATAATTTAACTGCCAGTTATATAGATATAATAGATAGTGACTTGGACATACAGAATTACAGTCCCCGTATAATACTTCTCTGTGATGGTTGGAGCACCAGGTGCTCTTTGATAGTATTCTACATTGAAACTCAAAGATGACTGTTGGTGTTCAGCTCCAATTTAGTGTTCCTTTGCACATAGACTCAGATTTGACTGTTTAATTTATTTATTTTTTACTTGAAAATTGTTAGTTTGAAATCCTGGAAAAAAAAATTCATCTTAGCAGTATCACATGCTTCTTTTCTCTCTCTTAGGATTGAAAACACTTTTAAGTAAGCAGTGGACTGGCAGAGGATTTGACAGGGATCTCAGTCAACTCTTGGACCTGTTGTCCTTGGAACAATCCAATGGAAAAGCAGAAATGCAGGTGCTGAAGTTTAATGAGAATTCTGTGTGTGAAATCTGAGTTCCATGTGGTGTATATATGTATATATATGTGTTTTTATGAATTTACTCTATCACTTTGACATTTATCAAAGCTCATGTTATGTTTTCACTGTACTAATGGATTAAAAAATTTCTTATTTAATATTTTTTCCTCCTCCATAATTTTTAAGACATCAAGAAATTGTCCAGTGATTAAGGTATGGGACTGTGACTCAAGAAATTGACTTTGTGTTGCAGATTCATCATAGATTTCTATACAACTGTAGAGAGAAAAAAAATAACTTGTTTTTGATAACTATAAACCAAAAATAACTGTCTGCTTTTGTCACATTGGTGTTACAAATTTAGATCTCTGAATTCTAGGCAGCATTCAAATAGAATTAAGTCATATAGAGAAAATATTCAGTAAGAACACCTTCTGGGCTGTGTTCCCAATAAAAAAAATGTGTGCTGTATGAACTTCATACCAAAATTTTACATGCAGGTTTCTCAGAGACAGTACTTTAAAGGAAGTGAGAGTTACATTTGTAGAGACCTGTTTCCATCTTCAACAGAGCAGGATGTTTTGTGTTGGGTTGGGTTTTGTTCTGTTGAGTTTTGTTTTTTTAAAATCCCATTTAAAAATAGCATTGATTTATTTTTCCAAATTTGTTGCATTTCAGTGTCTCACTGCAAATGTAACATTTTTCCTGCTGCTAATTCTCCGAACTTGTCTTTCTGTCCTCCCTAGTGTAGATATTTTAATTGAATCACCGTCTGAAACATCAAGTGCTTCAGGTGTTTAAAATACAAATTTCTTACACTGATTAATGCAGCTAATCTAGATTTTGTATTTGTGCTGTAGATTCATTTGTTTACCACAGAGAGCATCAATCCAGGTGATCAGATTAGCTGCCTTTGGAGCAAGTACAAGTTTTGTGATAATAACCATCTTGTAGGACCTTAAATTCCCCCATCTGTTATAAATACTGAATTTTCATGTATTTGAAAACTGATGGGTTTTGGCCAAATGTTGAAATTGTTCCTAATACACAAGCAGTAAGAAAGTGTTTTTTGTATGCAGAGAAATTATACTACCAAGTGCTTTATTAATTTCAGAGGCAGCATCAAGCAGCTTGTATAATCCAGGCTACATGGAGGGGATTTCAGACAAGGAAAAGGCTGAAAAAACTACCCCAAGCAGTGACCACTTTACAGAGAAGCTTCAGGTAAACAGTATGGCTTTGTAAAAAGCACTAAAGAGAAGAATCTAGTGAAAAGGCTTGGTTTCTTTTTTCTTAGATCACAGAGTCACAGAAAAAATGCAGGTAATCTGATCCTATCTACTGCTGGAAGTAAGGCCAGCCTCAAAATGGGAACTGGTTGCTCAGGGCTGTATCCTGTTCTGGAGGTCTCCAAGGTTGAGGATCCAGCCATCCACTTGGCCCCTGTCTTGGTGCTGCATGACTCACCTGTTGAAGGTTTCTTCTTTTACAGCCAGTGGGAATTTCCTTGTTGCAGCTCTTTACCACTGCCTTTTGTCCTTTTTCTGTGTGATTCTAAGAGTGTGGCTCAGTCCACCCTTCCTTTAGCCTAAACAAACCCATCTCTACACCTCTCTTAGTATATTATACATTCCATAGACCTCATTGGCTCAGTCTGAACAGTCTCTATCCCTCCAGTTTGTCAATAACTGTCTTCTACGGGGGGGCCTAGTAGAGCATGGCCAGTATTCCAGGTGTGTCCTCAAGAGCGCTAAGTAAAGCAAAGTAATTATCTTCCTTGATCAGCTTTTGCTAGTGCAGCCCACTCTGCAACTAGTCTTTGTTACTGCAGGGGCATGCCGCTGGCTTCTGGTCAACTTGTCACCCACCAAGAACCCCAGGCCCTTTTCATTGGAAGTAGCTGCTGTCTAGGTAGTCAGTGCCCAGCCTCTCTTGGTTCATGATGTTATTTTGTAGCAGGTGTGTAGAGCTCCGAATTTGAACTGTATGTGGTGTCTTCTGACCCATTTTCTGTGTTTATGGAGGTCCCTCTGAGTGTCAGCCCTGTCCTGCATGGGAGGCTGTGATGACAGCCTTGATGAAGTCAAGGAAAATTACATCTTCTGCTTTCCCCTCATCCACAGAGCCAGTCATCCTATCACAGAAGACAATCAGGCTGATCAAATTTGATTTGCTTGTTATAAGTCTTTGCTGACTGTTCCTATTCGCTTCCTGTCCTTCCTGGAAATATCTTGCCTGAGGATTTGTTTTCTGTGTCCCAGGGCATAAGTTTGGGCTGACCAAGAGTTCTTTCATTTTGAAGATGCCTTTTTCCAGTCAGCTGTTATTTCTGAAACATAAAGGTAATGTGATGCCAATATGAGCTGTTTCACTACAAATTATTTTAACAGAAACATCCAAACCATGTGCTTTTCCAGCAGCACCAAACTGCCACTTCTGATGCCAAAAGCTCCAACTGTCCCTTTCCCAGCTGTCAAACTCCTCCATGAAAAAAAACCTTACTTCTATGATGGTTTTTTTAATGTTTTCAGTGTAAAAATTTGTGGCATATGGAAAACTGAAAGTGTGGCACACTGTACCTTGGGATTGCACTAAATAGCACTAGCAGCTGATGGTGGTAGAGCAGTCAACTGGTTCACAGTTGACACAAAATTCCACTGTAAATTGAATGTAGAGCTGTCCTGGAGTTTCCAATCTGCCATGCCAGGGTGCTACAGAAACCAAGGACCATGGTGCTTGCTCAGCATGGTGCTTCCAAGACCTTGTTCTTCATTAATATTTGAAATCCTGGACTCTCTGAAGTGTTGTCACTTTGATGATCTAGAAATAGTATCCTCTGACTTGGAGCACCACAGAAGAATGAAGCTATGTAAATAGTACTTGTCTTACTTGAAGTAGGATTTCAGCAGTAATGTTAGCACATATTATATTAACTTTTTTTGAGAAATGTGATGTGATTTAACATGGGTTAAGGGATCTAAATCAAGTTTAGTCTCCACAGAAGTGGGGTTTTTTTCAATCATTTTTGCACATGTTGAGCAAAAGTAGATCTTACAAATCAGTTAGTTAAATCACATTTCATTATGACCAAAGTTTTAGAAAGCAGGCAGTTATGGTTTGTGGCATTAGGAAGATATTGGACTATCTAGGGTATAATCTAAAGATTCTGGAAGATTTTCAGAGGCAAGCAGTGGGACACTAGCCACTCCAGCTTTTGTGCTGTAACTCCAAGGATGACATCCTTGTTGCTCCTTTTTACGCCACTATACACTTTGAGCCAATATTCCTTCCTTCCTCAGGCACCTTGCAAGCCTGCAGGCTAAAATCATAGCCCAGAAAACTTGGGTGATGGGCTAAGGCATAACATGGTAAAGGAGAAGGGAAAGGGTGGTGAGGCTAATGACAATCCACAAGCTGCTTGACTTTCCCATGTCCTATTTTCAGTATTGTGTTAGTGTGTACCTCTTAAGTAGTTCTTGAGTCATTTAAATGGACTTTTGAATGTGCTGAGGAGTGGAAATGTATTAATATCCTTACGTTTGTGTGTTCATGGCTCAGTCAGTCCCAATGTACTGAGTACAACATAGTAATTGTACAGCTCCAGTGTTGTTTTTTCTGTCCAGGTTTGAAGCTGCAGTTACTGTTATGCTGAAAAATAGTATTTGGAATGCTGTAAGCATGATTTTAGAAAAGCTTTCAGGAGGACCTTTGAATTTGTAACAGTCAGGGTTTGGTTATTTTCACAGATTTATTTTAGAACAAGTGTGGTTAAATGCTGCTGAGTTTGAAACTCTGACCTCTGCTCACCTGCAGCTGCAGTGGAAGATTCTAAACTCTGCAAGTTGCAAACTTTTGAAACTCTGTGGTTTCAGAAATATCTCTTGGGTGAATCCCTCTCCTTGAAGTTAGTTCACTGTTACATAGCTCATGATACAACTGTTACAATGGCAATAATTTGTATTAATCATGTGTCAAAATAAAAAAAAAATCAAACCAGTTTATATATAGAAAGAGATGATCAAAGGGTGGCTGATCTTCAGCATGAACTGTTGAAGGAAGTTTGGACCTTACTCTGTGTGTGTTTTGCTTCTGTTCAGAGGCATTTCCCTGTCACAGTGTGGTCTTGTGCAGACAAATGTCTTACCATTAGGAGGAACAGAGAATGAAGAACAACACATGTTTTGCAGACTACAAAGGAAAGAAACATTTAAATACCTGATGGTCACTATTGGTAGTTTCACAGATGCACATCTGAGAATCTCATGAAAAATCCTTGTAGTTTTCCACCCAGTGGAGCTAATATGAATTTCTAGGGTAAATTATTAATAGTTATATCAAGACAATGTCATTGAAAGTCCTGTTGGATCCTGTGACATCATTCCACTTGGAAGTGGAATGTGTGCCTTCCTGGATTAAAAATGCAAGGATTTATAGCTTTAATTGGCAGAAGTGTCTTGGCTCAGAACCTGTAGTTTCCTTGAGCCCATTCTGACCTAATCACATAGATCATGATCTGTCTCTGTAGGTAGATGTGTGGGCACACTTCAAGTCTGCATTACTGTCATAAAAGGATTATGGTCTCCCAGATCATGGTGGAGGCTGTTTGTCAGTTAGGGCCAGAGCTTTCAATGCAGAGCATCTCCATTGCACAATAGCTTCCATCCCATCTTTCCCCACCCAGGTATGGAAACTTTGGAGAAATTATGGTTGGTGGAAAAATTACAATGCAACTTATGCTAGCAATGGGAAACACACAAAGAACTCAGTAGTACTGTGAGTCTAAAGGTATGTGAGGTGCAGCATTACCAAAATTACTGGACATTAATTCTAGCCTACAGCCTCTTTTTTTCCCTTACTGGTATCTCTTATGCCTGTGCTCTGTCCATTTGTTCTCATTCCTAGTGCTGAAGCTGCTACTTTCATTTGTCCCTAGAAAGGTGGTAGAGGGGAACAGAACTCAGGGATGTGGGCCCAGTGAGGGTACTCAGGTCCTGAGCAGGCAAGTGATTTTGCTGCAATAGAAGTGGAGGAGTCATGTTATTACCTCATTGTGGGGTGAACTCATGAAGTTTCAAGCATGTGGTTAGGTCCCTTGGGACGAGAAGGGGTAGTGAAGAGAGGGGGAGCCCTACCTCACAGCTCCTTATGCTTCACTGGAACCACGTCCAACTGATCTTAATAATTATTAGAATCAATACATCAGTATATTTCATATTAATATATTAGTCTCTCTATTAATATCTTAGTGTGTATATAATTGATATACAGGCTATTGTTAGCTTAAACATTCCAGGGACAGTTAAAGAGTTTTCAATTGTCCCATCTGTGAAACATCTGCTGGGGCTTTTCCAGTGCCAAGCACAGTGGGTCAACATCCCAACATCAAATTACACCTAGTACAAATCAGGAAGAATTTACAACAAAATTCTTTGCTAGAGTTCTGTTAACAAAGTTGATGGACAAAATGTGTCAGTGTGTGTTTCCTGGAGAAAAAAATAATAAACTCTCCAAATTTATGAAGTGAGCCTTAAAAGCCAACATTCTGACCTGCTCTGGCACTCTGTACAAAAATCATAGTTTGTATTATGGAAAGCAGGTGCCATGCATGGTGATGGGTGCCCTGGAAAAGGTGCATCCTAGAGCAGATGGGGAATGTTGCTTTACCTCTTCCCCAGATGATGGAACCAAAATCGTTCTAGTTCATGCTAACTCTAAATGTCCCACATTATTTATTCATAGAACTTGATTCTAAGTAAAAACATATCCTTTGATTTGATAGCAGATTGAGTGACTGGTTCAGAATTTGTGGTGGCTGTAGATAGTGTGGTAATTTGTTAGCTTGCAGGTGAGTTCTCATTGCTTGGTGTGGTCCTGTAGCCAGTGGCTGGGATGGCAGATTATTCTGTGGATTTCCTCCCCCGATGCATTTCACACAAAGAGAAAGAGAGGTGCTTTTAAGAAATGTACAACTAAAGCTAATTGTTAATGTATCTGTTTGTTATAGGGCGAAACGGGAACAGGAGCTGCAGCAGTTAAAAAAACAGAGGGAAGATGAGGGTCTGAAACTGCAAGTTCAACTTAAGAGACAGAGGGCCATGAGACTCTTCCATGAACGACAGCTGGCCTTTCTGGAAATAATCCATGCCAGTATGATTTATATTAAACTATATCAGAAGATTAAACTGGGTCTCCTTATGAACAGTTTCTCCAAAAATATTTATCTTGCAGGTCTGTTTGCACTGTAGTCTTACTGTCCTACCTCCTGACCCAGTCATCTGACAGGAGGTGCTAATTCTACAAGGGCTCAATATCTACTGATCAAGATCTGCTGTCTTCAAAATGGTGCAGGAGAAAGGGAGACCCAGTTTTCTTGTTTTCAAAAGCTCCATTGCAGCTACAAGCCTCTGAGACATGGTCCACAGCCAATGGATCTTGGAAGAAGTGGGGTTTTTAACTAATGACCTTTTTTGGTAGTCCCTAGTTTGAGGATTAAAAATGCAAATTGTTAAGAGATCCCAACCTACAGTCTTATAACTGGAATTCTGTTACACTTGTAGGTCAGGTAAATAAGTATATGGAGGAAACAGAAAGAAAATCAGCATTAACTATCCAGAGATTCTGGCGAGGATATAGAGCAAGAAGAAATTTTCATCAACAGAGACAATCTCTTAAGGAGTATAAAGCAGCTGTCATAATTCAGAGAGCAGTAAGTATATATACTTTGTTCTGACACTGGCTAGGATTGAGTGAATTATTGCAACGCCTTAAAAACCTCTGTTTATTCTCTTACTGTTGGTGTATCCACAATTTATTTTATAATTATTCAGAGGGTGATAGTCTAGAGCCACAAGTTTTTTAGATGGGTTAAACCTTGCATAGGTTACAAAGCCTGATACCATCTTGCAACTAAAATATAAGAGCTGCCACTTTGAAAACTAAGGTTGGAGTTTCACCACACTACAGATGAGTCAGTCATTTATTATGAGTGTTTTTACTATTTGGCTTTCATGGTGACCCTTGCACGTTGTCTTTTCAGCTAAATTTACACTTTAGCAGTTGCAATACTGAAACATTTTTCTCTCATTGTTTGATTACAAACAAAGCCAGAAGACAAGCTTCCTGCCTGGGATTGTCATATTCTCCTATGTTCTTTACAAAGGCTTGTAAATTCTTGGAAAAACGAAGGAGGAGGAGACCTCTCTCTCCTTGGAAAGATCCCAAGGGAGTGACAGATGAGCAGAGACTGGCTTTGCAGCAGAAGGTGGATGACTACATCAAACTGCATCCGGTCTGTTTCTTAGTCACTTCATAATTCGCATTAATGATGCAGCATAAAATACTGTAGGGATAAATTCTCATAAATTCTGATCAAGATAATCCATGTGAGGAATTCGTAATATTAACCATGCCTGTTTGAGGGCAAGGTGCTAGAATATTGGAGATTTGAACCATTAATCTAATAAACGGGGTCAAAGCAAACTGTAATTGGAAAATTTGGATACTTGAGGATGGGCAGTTCTGGAGAGAGCTGCAGAGAAAACAGAATTATTAAGTTAACAATTAAGTACAGCATTTGCGTTCCTTGTTTAGACATTATTCTGTTCACAAAAGATTTAAAATAGCCAGGTCCTAATGATAACGAGTTGTTATTTTCCTCCAGGCTTCCCAAATGTCAGAAGAAATGAGTAAGGAACTACATATGCAGGCCCAGGAAAAGCTGGCACAGTTCCTGTTGAGGAGCAGACTGGATAGGAGAGCAGCGCAGCGCAGGGAGACATTACTGGCTCAGGTCAACACTGATGTGGAGCTGCTAATGAGTAAGTGGCTGCTTTAGTCATACTGCTGGTTACCATTTAGATTAAGCTAATTTAGAGACAAAATTAGAGAGAACAGTGGCAAAGCCTCATTTCAAGACTAAAATTTCTTTCTTTCTCTGCCATGTGCCTTATCTTGAGATACAGGCTTCGTTAAAGATTATCCAGGTGTTGGTGTAGGTCAAGTAAACACCACTGCTTTTGAGCTTATTTTTCTGCTGGAAATGTTTCTAATATGTTCACAGGAAAAGCAAAGGCCCTGTAAAAGGCACTAAAATGCATTAGAGGGGAAACTTGCACAACCTCTTCCTCCACGTTTCTTTTGCTTTTTTTTCTGTTTCCTTGTGTTGTAAGTAAGCTGCTGGTTGAAGTGCTCTCAGCTATGGCAGATAAAGAGGGAAATCTTTGAGCTATGAATTCCAAGTCATTTTCTCTGGCTTGGCTTTATGTAAAATGGACTTCACTGTTGTGCTATTGTAACTCCAGACAAGTAGCTTGGAGTAAAGAGTGAGAATAGCAAACTGCAGCCACCAGAGAGCACCCAAGCAGGAGAAAATTCAGCAAGTTACTGAATTTCATTTCTTTGTCTGTCACGTGCTGTGTCACTGCAGGTCATCTCTGCCTGACCAAGCAATCAGCAACACACCCAACACTGTGCTGTGTCCCCCAGGCAGGGAATACACTGTGCTGCTGTTCCAGAGCACTGGAAACACTTCACTCATGTCAGCTGCACCAGTGGTGCTGATCCAGCAGCAGCAAACAGGAGCACCTCTTTCTCTTAGGTTGTAGTATCACAAGAAGTCATTTTGGTAGATGCCACCACTGCACCTGAATGAAGTACTGCTGCTTTCCCTGCTTCTTCTCCCTCCCTGCTTATGAATTTATTTTTTCAGATTAGTCTTAATTTGATTGCTTCTCCAATCAGGTTTATCATGCAGCCATGAAACTGTATGCCAGCCTGGGGAAAGGAGTGACCTAGGACAATGGGAAGGAGGAGGGTAGTGCTCCTTCCTTTTTTTTGTTTGAAGCACTTGTATAACCACAGCATGAGAAACAGAATACAGAAAGCTTTTCTTCTTGTTCTTGCAGATGCTCCAGGGTTAGCAGAGACCACAGAAAAAGATCTTGATGTCTTTATGAGTCGATCAATCCCTGTAGCTACCAAGGCAAGACAATCCCACAACACTAGGCTGAAACACACTCACTGGCCATGGTGGAAGAAGCTTGGAGAGGAGTTTGAGGAAGATGATGTCATTTCTGATGATGCCCTAAATGCAGAACTGGGAACTCTATTTATTGGTGGGAAGAAATCCTTTTAGGTAACAGGCAGAAGAATTCCTCACTCAGCCAGACTCATACATTGCACTATGCATTCACTTGGGTGTGTTTTTAAGGAAGGAAAACACTTGAACTGTAAGACAAAGCACTGAAAAAAGACCAAAGCCTTCTTTTAGTACATTTTACTTATCTTATTAAGAACATCTTCCTGTACTTCAACAGTTAGATCCTACAGATTGTGCTGTTGCAAATAGGATTGAAATACTGTAGTTGTAAATGAGGATATTTTGTAATTTGTATCACTTTAAAAATAAGTTCATAACCTTTGGCTTTTCTGTTCGTATTCACACTGGGATGCATAAAGAATCACACTATTCTAAAAGCCTGGGCTTTTATAGAAAAACCTTTCACTGGGTGATCTGCTTTGAGGTAAAATGGATTCAGAACAAACTAAGACATCAATAAGAAGTCAAGCAAGCATGTGGCAGGCTGGGTGCTTATGGCAAGGTAGAACAACTAACTAACTTTGTTCTGCACAAGCAAGTTTGGCCTGAGGAACCTTCACCAGCCTCAAGAGCAGCAAGGGGAGAAAAATTCCACCAACATTCTTGGATTAAATGTGTTTTCCTTTAAAAGCATGCAGCTCATTCCACAGCCAGTGCAGCGTGTGGTAACATGGGTGCAGTACAAACTGTTACATGGGATTGGAGCCTTAGTGTGACCATCTGGACCATCCATCTTAAACTATCCAGATGCTGGTTAATCCAGAAAGGTCTCCAGCACGGGGCCTCTGCAGTCACTGTGACCCAATACATGGTAAAAACCTACAGCCACAGGCTGAATGATGCTGCTTAACCAATGTGCCCAGACAGCAAGGAGTACTCCAGGCTGCAGCTAGTGCTTTAGGTGCCTGTGCTATTTTTTAGGTAAGAGACCAAGAGAGTCTTAAGGATTAGATTTACCTCACTGCGGAAGAGGGAAAAAGCACAGTGATTTCTGGCAATTGTATTGTGGGCAGCAATACTGGTTCAGCGTATTTGTTTTTCCATTCTCTCTAGAAGGTTTTGAGTTTTAATTTTAGGGAAGATGAATGGAAAACAAATAAATAGAAATAGCAGGCAGAAGTCCAAGCCCATTCAGATGCATCTGATAAATTGAAATTAATAATTGGACAGCTGCCCAGTGGAAGAGCTGTGCTTCAGGTTAATTTTTGTAACAGAGCTGTGATTTGGAAGGCACTTACTTGGCTCTCAGGTCCTTTCTTGGAGAGCTAACTAGTGAAACTATCCATTAGGTGTTTGCCAGTGCACTTGCATGTGTCTGTTGAGTTACATGTTGTTCTGCACAGCCTTGCTATTAGTTTTAGGCAGTGTCTGTAACAAGACAGTTGCCCTACAACCACTAGACTGGAGGAGCTGGGAGACAGTGACCAAGCACTCCAGGGGATGGAAGTGACTCCCCAGCAGCTAACAAGCTCTGGTGCTGGAAAAGGCCCAGTGTCTCTGGATGAATAGCAGCAAGCCAGCTGTTCCCTTGGAAATGCCAGAGTCCTCTGTGCACAACATAGTCCTTTCTACTGCTGATCCAAACTATTTTGAGACAGCAGACTCTGCTGTTATGTTTATTCCTAATCACCCTCATTATAATAGCTCTTTAGCACAGGGGGTTGTTCACAAAGGTGCTTTGCTTAAGGTATTTGATATAAATAAAGGTGAGCCCCCCTGGCCAGTGTTAAATACCAAATGAATTATAGAGCCATCTTACCAAAAAGCCGTTTATTGTAATGGTAGTGGCCTCTGCCACTCATGCCATTTAAGTTGATAATGGACTCCCCCTTTGGAATGTGCAATTTGCTGGATAATGTTTTGGGGTTTTTTTTAAGTGAACAGAGAGTCTGGTGAAAGGTGCAGTCTTGCTGGAGGAATTAGAGTTTCTGGGTTGTTCATTACCAGACCAACAGTGCAAATTCCTGTGCCCCACCCCTGCCCTAATAGGAGATCTCAATTGTCTCCATTTTACAGTCGAGGGAAACTGAGGCAAGGGAGCCATGAGGGAACATGCCTATAGCCATATATATAACCATATAACTTGTCACTGGTTCCTGTTGCTGTCCCAGGCAGAGCAAGCCAGGAAGGATGCCAGGTGGGAGCTGGAAGATGCTGGCAGGTACCAGTTGCTGTGGCCAGCTTGGAGCCTGGGCCCAAGGGTGGGAGAGATTTGGCATAGCTTGGCTCATCCTCTTTTCAGGTCCTTCTGTGCCACATGCAGGAGACACTGCTGGAGTTTTAGTCCACTGCTGGGATAAAATACTCCTGCCTGAGTAATGGGAACAAAGACAACTGAGCAGAAGCCATTTCCATCCTGCTACCAGGTGAATAGTCCTGCTGGGTTATAAGATCACCCAAAAAAATACTAGGAGTGGCCATGAGCTTAGATGGGTCCAGTCTTGCTCCCACAGACCATAGGCATACTCAGAAAGCTGGGTATACCTTATACCACTTGGGTATAAATGTGCTGCACAGGTGGTCCAGGAAGGTAGGAAAAGGGGCAGAATTCAGTTGTGCCCAGCAAGTCTGGGCTGTGCCAAGTTGATTAGCAAGGAGGTTTGCCCTGGCAGCCTGAAGACAGACCCTGGTCACACCAGAGGAAGTGCAAGGCTGCCCTCCCCCATCTGTGTGGTGACAAACCTGGGGGAATGTGCTGTGACATGAGGAGGGGCAGAGGTGAAGACAGAGCTGCAAAGGCAGTGGTGCTCAGGTCATTAAATATTGACACCATCTAAGCTGGCCTGTGGGGGTGATTTAGCTGAATTGCAGGTTTCTGTTGCTGTGATAAATCAGACCATTTGTCATGTGGTTTTGTTTCTTCCCTCCCTTAAGTAAAGTTATACAGGGGCATTACTGCTACAGCTTCAGCAGCAGCAAACATTCTGGAAAAACGAAATCCCCTGATGGATATAGATAAAAAAGAAGGGACAGCAGCTGTTCCTCTATTGAAGGTGACACCGGAGTCATGGAGCAAAATAAGGCAGTAAAAGGAGCAAACAAACAAAAAAATCACCCAGTCCTTTCAGAGCTGGAGACAAAGCAGTGTCTTCTGCTGGCTTCTGCAACTGAGGAAAATTCCTGTTTATGCGGACAGATACTTTTTTTTCCCCCAGCTTTAGCTGTAACTGGCTTCTGCACACAACAGGATGCTCATCTCCAGCAGACACAGGCCTGAGACCACACTGCCAAGTCCAAGGGCATCTCCTGGCCTTTCAGACGAGCTGTAACAGGAGCTCTGAGCCGAGGGTGGGAGATAACCCCCCGATGCTATTTCACCTCTTGCCTCTGATTCTTCCACTGCTGATTTCCCTGGGAGCAGAATCTGCTAGAAACATCTGCTCTCCACTGCAGAGTATCATCACGTACATCAAGGACAAGGAGAAATGAAAGCTTTCCCCCAGTAGAGGAATCGGGGCTATTTATAAATTAGCATGAATCAGAAACAGAGGGAGCTGCAAGGATCATCGCAATCAGTCTCCAAGTTCTCCTTGTTGTCCTTCTCCATAGCACAGGAACACCGGGTCATTGCCAGGCACCCTCGTGCACAGTGAAAAGCTCTTTCACACTTTGTTTTCTAAGTGAGTGATACACGGGACCAGGTCTACCAGGGGGAGATGAAGTGTGGGTATTTCCCACCCCCTCTCCCCTGCTGAAGGCAGGGCTGGGTTTGCTCCAGCTGCCTTCTTAGGACAGACAGGCAGGTCTGGCAGGTGAAGACCAAGGGCAGGACATGGTGGCTGTGGCGATTTTTCCCAGCTGTGCTGGAGAAGTCCTCTGTGACCTTGAGCACATTCTTTCTGTGTCTTCTCCTCCCTCAGATGAGGTTTACTGATGCTTTTTAAGAGCCTTGAGTGGAGGATGCTGTGTGAGCCCAGGGCCACTAAAATCCCTATCTGGTAAGGTGAAAGAGGAGTTTGGCAGCCCCAGGAAGACAAAACATTTGTATGATCAGACGTTGAACACCACAAGAGCTCAGAGTTGCCAAGCTATTCATTTCTCTCTGAATTCAGCTTTTATCTGCAGGGTGTAGTTATTCTCTATTTGATGTCATCCTCAAAGGAGGAACAGTCTTTACCTGTGCTTGATCACTTAATAAACCCCAGAAAAGCGAGCCATTCTGATCAGGGAAACTTCACTGAACACCTCTCACCCATCCAGAACCTGCCTGTTTGGAACGAGATGAACATACAGGCAGACAAAATGGATAATAAGATCCAGCTCAATCCAGCTGTGCGTGACAGAGCGAGTGAAGGGTCACACCTGATCCTTGAAACAGCCAAAGAACCGTCACACGTGCTGAGCCTTCACCGTCTGAAAGGCCAGGGGTGCTCAGGCTGCCGCGGCTGCCCCCGGAACGAACGGCGAGTGGAAACAGGGTCGTTGCAACCGCAGGGCACGGCCCAGCCCGGCGCGCAGGAACGGGGGACACCGCAGGCTCCGCGGGCTCCGGCCGGACTGCCCGTCACGCGTGGGAAAGCCTGTGCGGGCTGATGCGGGAGGCGGCCACGGGAGCCACCGGAGCGGTCCGGGACAAAGGGCTGTGCGCCCTGTGACCTGACGTGAGGGGTGCGGAACGCGGGGGCCCCGGAGCCGCTGGGCAAGGGGGGAGCG